TTAGATCCTTTTGATTAAATTTTATTTGGCCTTAAAAACACACAGTTTAGCCCAATAGATTATAATATATCCAAAAAATAAAGACAAAAATGTGATTTTTCAAGAATTTTATAAAATTAGCAATCCTTTAAAATAGTAATAAACGTACAAAGTTTATCGAATCAAAACAGTTATCATCGAAATATAATTTTTAGATATCTTATTTTAATTCTAATACAAGGTAAATTTATCGTTTGTGGAACAATTATTACGTCATCTGACCGGACGTAGAGCTACGTTCGGCCGCCAATAACATGTCGCCACGTGCTCTTACTCTTTACCGAGCGGCCCGACGACTTGACCCGGAGCGGAACCCGGGAATGCTATGTTCGCGATTTTCTCGGTATTGCTCGGTATTGCTTTGCAAAAATGAGAAATACCGCTCTGTGAAGACCAATACCATGCAAATACCGAGTTGTACCGAGTTTTTTTTACAACTCGGTACAACTCAGTATTTGCTCAGGATTTGCTCGGTATTGCTAGGGATTTGCTCGGTATTGCTAGGGATTTGCTCGGTATTGCTAGGGATTTGCTCGGTATTGCTAGGGATTTGCTCGGATTTGCTCAAGATTTGCTCGGTATTGCTAGGGATTTGCTCGGTATTTGCTCGGTATTGCTAGGTATTTGAAATATATCCAAAAGGTGATGGGATGTTGTTCGGCTCGTCAAGGATTTAAAAAAAACGCACGTGCGAGAACCCAAAAAACAGCGGGACGGGTCGGCGACTTTTCTTCATGCTACGTAGCGCTAAAACATTGGTGGCCGAACGTAGAGGAGCTTACGTTCACCAGACCGAATAAAAGTTCGTGGAACACGCCTCTTTTATTTAAAAAATCTAAGAAAAAATTTAGGTTAAGCTCACACAAAAGTTCTGTTAAACCTTTTTGATAATGGTAATCCCTTGAATAAAACAAGAGAGTAGCACATAACATTATATTGTCTTTATATACTGAGCTTTTAACTAGGATATCTTCAAAGTCATAGGGTAGTTGAGGCCTTGGGAGGTTAGGAGAACGTGGGAAATGTTTAATAGAGTTTTGAAGATGTTTGATGTGTTTTGGGGTTGAGAAACCTAAGATTGAGGTTATATAGAGAAGATGAGAATAATATTGGGAATGAGAAAGAACAAAGGTAAATAAAGATAACTAATGAATCACTAAAGCCCTACAAAATCAACTACTAAGTTTCACCAGAGAGTAGAACAACCACCAAATCTTTCTATACAAATTTACACTGGTAACATATAATTTTTATTTAGTTTAGGCAAAAGTATAAATCAAGATCCTTTTCATAGGCTTTTTAAGCCTGGACAACTTAAGAAAATATTAGGAGCCAATAACAATGTTACATTAATTGATAACTTGCATGGATACAAAGAGAAAAAATTAAGATAAATAAAATAAAATTTAAAGCTTCCAAAAATATGAAATTCAGATTGGTCAAATAAATCAAGTTGAGTGGACTTGAATTCAATTAATTTTAAAAAAAATTGTTTTCTTGACTGGCATGGCTCATCTACCCATTAGAAGAACTTAAATTAAACTTATTAATTATTTTCCAATGATTGAAGAGAAATTATGAGTCATTCATGGGCTTGCATGGAGAGTTATGGAGGATGAATAACCCAGATTTTAATGGAGTGCCTTAGTTTGTGACTTTGTCATTGGGCTTTATCTTGGAATTGCATCAGTAGTACCTACAAAAATAAACTTAGGTCATAAGATACTTGATCTAATCATCAAACTTCTTAGCATCGATTATCCTTTTGTGACCCAACAACTCAAGCTTAGCATAGCCCTAAAATGGTAAGTTAAGTCTACCGTGATTATTCTTCATGAGAACTTCATCATCCATATCCTCTATATCTTTATATTTCTTTTTTCCATTTACATCATCCGTATCCTCGTCATCTTTAGAAGGTAAAGATAAACCTAAAAAGACTTGGTTAGAAAATATCAGAAATGACCATTCTTTATTAGATTTAAATGAGAATTTAACTCTTAACATAACACAATGGAGAAGAAGGATTCATGTAGCCCACCCCACATTGTGGGTTAAAGGCTTGATGTTGTTGTTGTTGTTGTTGTTGTTGATTAGTGGTGCATGTATCATGGTTCCTCAAATGAGTAGGTAAATTACTATGGTTCATTATGGTTCTAGAGGTGTCAAAATGGGTCAACGGGTCAGGTCCAACCCGAAATTGATTTGACCCAAAACTGATTAACCCTAACCCAACTCATTTAATAAACAGGTCAAAATACGGACCCGATCTGACCCGCTAGCAAGCCGAATGACCCAAACCCGACTCGATAACTCATTTTAATTATAAACAAATAATTATAACTTTTAAATAATAATTTTTAGATTAATTAATAAAAATAAGACAATCATACCAACAAATAAAAAATTTTAAAAAAAAAAAAACATAATTTAAACGGATCATTTCTGGTAAAAACAAGTTGGACGGGTCAACTCAAACCCAACCCATTTAATAAATGGGTCGGAATTTTGAAACCAAACTAAACCCATTTATTAAACGGGTCAACCTGAACCTAAATTTTTTGGGTCGAGTTATTGGGTATGGTCATTTTTTGACACCCCTACATGGTTCCCAGTGTAGTGAGGCCAACAATTGACGGAACATCAATTCTAGTGTCTACAATCTATTCTTAACACCTCCCCCCAAATTGTAATCATATCGATGGCTCAGCTTGAATAGAGATTGGATAAGACTCTGTTAGGCCGCCGGTTCAATGTGACCGGCTCAAGTCTATAGGAGGCAAACTAGTTCTGCCTCCTCTACCTTGGCCGCCCAAACACATGGGTCCCACCCATCTATTTGATTTCCAAATTCAATTGAGGGGGGCGGCTAGGGCTTTGGGAGGGAAAATTGATTAGGAAAGTTTTGTATTAAAGAGGATGAGAGGGATTAGGGAAATATTATGTTTTAATTTATTAGAATTAGGGTTTCTTGGTATTTGGGCTTAGACTTTCTTGTCTAGAGATTTGGGAGAGAAGATCCTCCTCTCGAATTGAGGATCTCTTGTATCTTGCTTGGTGTTTATTCCTTTTGCTTTCTATAAAGATTTTGCTATCGTTTGCTTGCTTTTCTGCGACGTTTCCACATTTTTCCTCTCTGATTTTACTGATTTTGGTTAGGTTTGCTTGCAAACTCAAGTAGATCCGATAGGATTACTTGCGAACTCAAGTATTTCCTATCAGACTCTTAACTTTGATAAGATTTTATAATATGTCAATGATGTGGTTTATCATATAGAACAAAAACATATTAAACATAAATTATTAAAGAATAGACTTAGATGGTTTTGGCTTAAATAGAAGAAGGGAAAATATGCAATAACAAGAGTTAAAAAAAAATCAAGGAACTAATCAATGAACTAGCTCAAGTCAATTATTAATGAGTTTTGGTTCAATATTGGATCATGGCAATCCTAGTGAAAACAAGACCAAGTTCTCAATGTTAGGTGCCCTAGTAAATAGAACTCAAACAAAATTATTGCAAACCTTATGCTAACATTACTCTTCTATTTGTTGTCTACCATTCTCATCTCTCTCTCCGTCCCACCCTCCACTACCACCATCCATCATCATCTATTGTGTTTGCATCCATCACCCATTTGCCTTCAATTCATCGCATTCTCCTCTATAAACTATAAACATCATATGGCTCCCTCAACATTATTGTGCCTTTAGAGTGTTGCACCCATGGAATATGGATCTCATTGTCATGTGGCACCAACATCATTGCCATCTTTGCCTTCAAACCATTGCAACACAAATTCAAATCAAATCCTACATTGAGTGGCCATCATGACAAAGAAAATTACCCTTCCTCGAGACACCCCATCTGTTTACTCATGCACACCCTTTTATTCCCAATAAAGGTAGTTTGGATGTTTAACTCAAGGTCTAGTTTTAGCCTAAATTGCAATAAAGTCGAGTTCGGGATACATTGATCTAATTGGCCTGTTTCTAAATTTAGCTCCAGTGAAACTAAAACCACGAGTTCTCATGACAATCCCTATATTTTAGTATAATTAAGTTAAACTTACATTGATTTGCATGCCCACTAGAAAGGCATGTTGACACATTAAGGTTAAGATATTGGGAAAGGAAAATATATATATTAAATATAACATGAGTAGAAGTTTTGCAAAACAAATAATCGAGTAAAAACCAAACATTGTAAATAGAAAACAATAAAGAATAAGTCAAAAAACCAACTCCAAATAGTTGGGGATAAAGCTACTGATTATAATGATGGTACAGACCAAAATACATTCAACTAGTCTTTCCAAATGCAGTCAATATTTAAATCTCATGGCATGCTAGATATGAATTAGAAAGCCTCAATCATAAGACACTCGACATTATTGTCATCTGTATCCCGAAGTATGTTTTTAGAAACAAAATATCTGTTTTCTGCTCCATAAAGCATCAGGCTTGATCAGCAAAGCACTTTGATAAGCTACTAGAACTGTAAGACTATTATTAGCGAAAGTAAATGACATAAAGCTTGTATACTCTCTAATTTGGTTTCATGAAACATTAAAATATCATCAGGGTATCCCCAATAATGAGAGCTTCTAGTATGATTCAGTTTCCATCGCACTTGCTAGGATGTAGTATAAAAATCAATTAATGAACTGTCTGAATAGCATGATTTTTCTTCTTCTTTTTTCCATTTCAAAACACCAATAACTTAAGGTGCTGAAGTTTTAACGGCTCAGCAAAACATTCATGACAGAGCGTAACTCATCAAAATCATAAAAAACACAAATGTTTCAGCACTTTCAAACAAAGGTACGTATCCTCGCAGGTCCATACTAAATGCCTGAATTGAACATGCAAAAAGAATATTCCTAAAAAATCCATATTGTAAATATAATAATTGAACAGGGAATTCAAGGGAAGTGATAGAAAGGAAAAGGTCGGCTCACATCCATCTTTGAGATTCCCCTCATGGAACTGCTTGGGTATATGATCGTAGTTTCTGGATGCCTCACATCTCCATGCAAATTTTCTAGTGGAAGTAACCCGAATAAGAGGAGAAGACGAGAGCAGAAGATTCAGGCTAGGTAGGAAGGAGCTCTTCACGAGGGCTGAGTTGCGGGATGAACCAAGAATCTTTCTTCTGGGCGACAATAGGTCAAACTGAGAAGATGAGAGAGTGGCGGCGGTAGAGGAAACGGTGGAGACCGCCATTGGCAACGAGCTCGCGGATGGAGATCGAATGGTACTGAGAACTCAACCAGTCCACCGGCTTGCCCACGTTAGATCCGGATTGGTTCATTGCTTTCGGAGAGTAATATACTTCTTCGGAAACTCCTTTTTTGTTTTTAATTATTTAAAGTGTTTGATTTTATATTACTCATTTACTCATAGTATATTTGATTGATCAAATATTTTTAATAGTTTATTATTTATAGAAGTATGTCCAAATTTTTATTTTGAGCTAAAACGCAATTATTAAATTAAAAAATGTGTAATAATGCACAACCAAATCATAGATTATTCTGTGCGGACACCGAATAGGAGAACAAACTGGTTACGCTCGGTATTGAGTGCGGTACATTTTGGAATGACGTGCCGCATTTGCATTGATCTTCGGATGACATCTGAACTCTGCACAAAATAATAAATCCAACCAAAAGCTCATGAGAACTTCCAAATAAGAAAGTCTTCTTCCCATCACCTTACCTATCTCTAGTTATATCAAAACTCTTGTGATTGACCTACGGTGAAGCTTCAGAGCAATGCTATCAAGTAGGGGTGTCAATATTTGACACGACCCGAAAATCCAACACGGAAATTTCGGGTTCGGGTCAACTCGAACTCGAACCGGTCGGGTTCGAGTTAGAGTTTTCGATCCGTTTAAAAAATCGGTTCAAGTTCGAGTTGACCCGGAAACCCGAAAATGACACGGATTGACCCGCTGACTGAGCTGCCCCCCGCTGAGCTCCGTTGACCCGCCTGCCCCTCCCCCCTTGCGTTGCCCAGCTGACCTGCTACCCGCTCGCGTGACCGCGTCGCATCCTGCGTCGCTTCGCCCGTCCCGCGAGACCGCATCGTTTCCAGCTTTCGTCGGACACCGGCTGCAGGACCACCAATGCCGCCGGACGCCGCTGTCGCGAAGCTGCTCACGGCCTTTCGCGTGTCCCGGGTCGGGTCAGGTTGACCCAAACCCGAAGCGGGTCGGGTTCGGATCCGGAGAATCGACCGTTTTTACAAATGAGTCGGGTTCGAGTTGACCCGAATTGTGCCAGGTCATTTCCGGGTTCGACCCAAATCCAACCCGTGACCCAACATTGACACCCCTACTCTTAAGTTTCCTACTATCATATGGCCAATGCTAGTGATGTTATAATTTATATGCACGGTGTATGCAGAATTAAGTTTTAATGCATTTATTGGCAAAAAATTTGTTGTTTATCGTTGAATGATATAAAATAAAAATCCTATGTTGAAAAAAATAACAAGGTGTGAATTTATAAAAGGAGTTTCAAACTTTATTTGAGTATTATTTGCACAAACAAGCTTAAACCCTCTACCACATTAGACTGCATATTAATATTATAATTATGATTGAAAAAAAAAAATATATTATAATTATAATTGAACATTATTCAAATTAGGATCGAACATTGTTTAAACCATTGCTTATCATGCTTTGAGCATGGTTCTAGTAAGGTCTGAACATGGTTCACCAATTTTAGAACAAAGTTTGTTCATTATTTGAACGTAGTTCCAATGATATTTGAATATTATTCCAACATCAAATTGATTCGTTCAAGTTTATTTGTTATGTATGTGTCTGCTCTTTCTAATCATATTTATAGAAGCATTATATGCTCGTTGCAATCTGGGAGTTTGAGCTTATATTTTGATGATAACAAATATTATTGGACTTTATCTTTTGCCTCCTATTTGTTATTATTGCACATATTTTGTGTATGTGTACTAATGTTTTAGGTACAACATGCACCAAACAATGCTAAAGGATCATGGCTCAAGATTGGTTAGTATATAATTGATTTTTACAAGAGTTAGTATTTGTATCTTTTCTTTAGTTGATATATTATAATAGATATATGTTAACGTAGCGGCAGTGCAAATACACACGGGGGAGTAAAATCGAATGTGCTAATTTTTTCTGAAGTTCGCACTGTATGGTCTGTAGTTTTGTTCGATATGCTTAAGATTGAAATTAATTAAGACATCTTATTAAGTAAATTTAATTTGTGTTAATTGTACTACATGATCATAATCATACAGGTCGATCGGTGGTAATCAGGAAATCCCATCTCCAATTAAATTTAGGCAATATTTTGAATTTTGCATATTGTACTATTCATATTATACAAACATGTTCATATAGTACAATATTTAAAACTCTTGCCTAAATTAATCATGAAATTTAATCAAATAATCGGGCTTAATTAACCATTAAGATCATACAACATGGTTTAGATCATACTAGAAGATTGACAAAGATGGTTTCTAATTGCACATGGAGTTTGTCCTATATGAACTATGATTCGATTGAACTAATAGTATTATATGTCCCTAAGATCATGCTGAACAATCAGTTGAAACTTTTGAATTGATTGTACATGGAAGCATTCATCATATAGTTCTAAAGGGACAATTAAACTAATCGAAGTGTACGAATATAGATGGCTAGATTAAAATTTTTTGTTCTCTTGAAGCCTAATATTAAAAAACTCTAATTTCATTTTGAACGATCTTTGATAATCAACATGCTTGAGTCTTCTGTGAGAGAGAGTTTGAAAAATAAGTTTTAGGCTTGGGAGAGAGAAGTGCACTGAGAGAGAGGGAAAATAGCCTAGTGGATCAACGGAGTGAGAGAAAGAAAGAGAGAGAGTCTTCACATGGTTGCTCGGATCATCTACCTTCTTTCTCCATGAGTCAAAGTTTTACTTGAGGGAAACTCCAAGAATAACCTCTTAGAGTCAAAAGGCCACCAGCAACTCCACCGCACCGTGGGTGAAAGGGATTCGGCTACTCCGCCCACCATTCGTAAGAGGGATTCAACTACTCCACTACACCAGGTTTGTGAAAGAGATTTTGTAATGAATTTTCCACCTTCTTGTGAGGGTAAAATGAGAGTCACTAAGAGTTTAGTACAATACTCGGAGTGGAAGACTATTGGGAGTAGACGTAGGTAAATGTTGACCGAATCTCTATAAATCTTTGGTGTATATGTTCTTATTTTTACCACATTTTAATTTTTTTGAATTTTACTTTCTTGTAGTTTTACTTTCGTGCAATTTTGAGTTAAGAATGTCGAGAATCATTTGGATTTAGTTTTTGTTGGAAAAGAAAAATAAAAAATCTAAAAAAACTAAAAATAAAAAAACTATATTTTTAATATTTATTTTTCTACAAAAAAAAAGACATAGCATTTGATATTTTCATATCATTAGCTTCTGCATCACAGTATCTTTTTTTGTACTTAAGGTTTGAATTTGGTTTTAAATTTTTCAAAAAAAAAATAAATTTTAAAATACCAATTTACCCTATTTTTTTGTATTATTATAGTTCAAGTGGTCTAACACTCACAATTTGATCTTTCATTGCTCATGTCATATATAAATCTGTTTAACTGATTGAAACTTCTCATCTTCTGAAAATAGCCAGGAGATCTCATTTTAGGCAATTATTCAAATCTTCTAGCTGCAATTGTTTGGAGCTCTAATTCACCAAATAATGCAAAGGATAATCGACCATAAGGAGAATGATAGATACTCCTTTATGTTCAATTGAAAGTAAGAACACAATATTTAGAGTTATTGAATCTGTTTTGATTATTCCATATTTCCATTGTGGTTAGAAATTTTCCATCTAAGCATGAACTCAAGGAAATGAGTAGATGCAGTAGGACTATTACTAACTATTTACATGGAAATAACTTTAAGAATATAGAAAGAAGAAAACATTCATGGTATTCATTGAAAGGGATAATGTATGGAAGTTAGTTTTATATTATATTATATATAGTGTTCTAGTAAATTAGGGGTGTCAATTTTTGACCCAACCCGAAAAAATCTGGGTTAGGGTCAACCCGGACTCAAAACGGTTCGGGTTCAATAAATCAACCCGTTTTAAAAATTGGGTCGGGTTCGGGTTGACCCAGCAACCCGAAAATGATCCGAAATTGACATGAAAACTCCTATGACTCGGAAACCCGAGAATGACCCGTTTTTGACCCTATTTTGACCCGAAAATTAAAGATTGACCCGATTTTTGATCAGAAAACTAGCAATTTTAGGTCAACTTCGGGTCATTCGTGTCGGGTCGGGTTGACCCGGATCCGAATCGGGTTGGGTTCCGGTCCGGAAACCTGACCCATTTTTAAAATGGGTTGGGTTATGGTTGACCCGAACAGTGCCGGGTCATTTTCGGGTTCGACCCGAACCCGACCCATTGACCCGAATTGACACCCCTATAGTAAATCATGTCAAGCATAATATTATTTTTAGTGAGATATTTGCCCTCATTAAAGATGAGAAAACATTCTTAGAATATCCATGAGATGGGTTATCATCATAGATGACTTTAACATGATTAAATAAGGATATGATGTAATATAAATATTAATGTTCTAAAGAAGAATGCCACAACACATCACTACATATGATATAGTGTTGCAGTACTAGGCTTATGAAGCCATCCCAATAGTAGGCAAGGATGTTAAGGTAGAAGAGCAATTAAGGGCTTATGTGCAAATACCTTTTTTTAAAGTATTAGTTTAATTACATTGATTATTGTTGTAGATTAACTCTAAAGTTAGTTTTGAATTATTTTTTATAGGTGATTGTTAACCCTACATTGATGCACAAAGCTGGTGAATAGGACTTCTATAAGTTTATTATACATACACTTTCTCATCCTCTGACATTATGAGTTATAAAGAGAATATGATCACCAAATGTTTTGTTGACGAGTATAGTGATCAAATAGGGAAAAAAGCATCAAAAGGATATGAGTAACAAGTAGTTACTAGTTAGTCTATGCCCTCATCTAGACAATTGGAGTAGCTTTCTACACTTGTTATAGAGCTAAGGAATAACCAAATCACATTATAGAATAACCAGTTCAAATTAGAGCATAAAGTACATACTCTAAGCATTTGTGGTCCATGGTTTTGTAATGAGAGATGTGGAGGGGAGTAAAAGGATTAATAATGTCATATAAATGAGTGAGGATAAAAAAAATAATGAATAGGTCATTAATGTTATAATAGCTTATATTTTGATCAAGTTAAATATT